AGAGTGGCTTTAGGAATTGTGTGAGTTTCACACTTGAAATGCACTGAACTGTGTGTGGAGTCAGCTGCCTGATGGAGAGTAGCCTTTCAGAGGGTGGAATAGAAAAAATAACTTCAGATGCTGTATTTCAGTGCAGTTTGAGATACTCAGAGTGAGTTGGTGTGGAAATGATGCCAGACTGCACAGCTTTACACTGTGGAGTTTGGGTTTGCAGTGAGCACTGAGGGGATAAGCAGAGTTTCTAGGAATGGGATGATCTTAAATCTCCCAACCCAAACCATTCTGGGATTCTGCTCTGTGATTCTGTGAATCTGACTTAAATGCTACAAATTAATTTGGCCTAATTGTCATGAGTCCTGTGCTGTTTTTCTAAAACTCAGTGCTGCATGAATTATTTCCTTTTGGAGTCTGGAACTGATAATTAAAGGGATGTGAACTCTGCTAAGGGAAAGCTGCATGGAATAAAAATGAGTTGTTGCCATCTACTGGTGACAGGGCAGTGGGAATAGCAAAAGGGTCCAGAGTTCTGTGGTTTAGGGTTAAATAATGTGAGGTCAGTGTGGTTGGTGGATTTTCAGTGTCACACTTAAAATGAGTATAAATTAAACCCTGCCCATAGCAGGGGTTGGAACTGGATGACTTTAAGGACCCTTCCAAACCAAACCATTCTGATTCTCTGAACCTGGATACTTCTGAGGGTGGTGAAAATGGAGCTGGGGCTGAAATGAAGAGACTTGCAGCACTTAGGTGTTGTCCAGCAGGGAATCAGGTGATCTCTCTACCTGAGACAGAGCCCAGGAGCATAGAGCACACAATTTTATTTAGAAGGAAAAAAAAATCTGTGTAAAGAACAGGTTAAGGCAAACAAACAGCACATGGAGTAGAAGTGGTCAGAAGGTTGGGTGGCTGTGTTGTCACAGCCAGGCCCTGGCTTGCCTGAGTTGAAGAAGCTGAGTTATGTTTGAAGAGATGCTTCTGTCTGTCTGGAAGCATCCCATCCTCACTTGAAGGGGATGCTGACTGTCCGCAGCATGGTCAGCCTGTGGGGGGAACTTCAGCTCAGAGAACAGCAAGCCAGTGGTGGTGGGGAGGCCAGGTGGTGTTTGTTTGTGCCTGGGGGGTGAGGGAAGGAAGTTTCCCATTACTGTTGCTTTTCCCCCTACATCATAACCGATTTCAAATGGTGCTAGACAAAAACTGAGACTCTGAACACCAAGAGAAATCGGTCAGCCTGTGTAAGAGACGTTTTCCTGGCTCAGAGAAGGATCCTCTTGGAGATGACAGCTATGCATTCTTTAGAGATGACTACTCAGTGCTCTGATCAAACCTTCATCCACACAGGGATCAGCTTTTCCATGTCTGGGAACACGCTGGGCAGCAGGGAGGGCAAAAAAAAAGAGTTCAGCTTCATTCTAGGTTGGGATGCAGGGCTGGAGGAGTGAAATATTGCTGGGAGGTACCAGCAGCAAACTGGAAAATTATTCTAGAAAAGAAGTGGGTTCTGTATGTGCTGAAAAGTCATTCTGCAAAAAGGAGTGGGTTCTGTGTGTGCTGGAAAGTGATTCTGGAAAAGGAGTGGGTTCTGTGTGTGCTGGGAAATGACTCTGCAAAAAGGAGTGGGTTCTGTGTGTGCTGTGTGGCATCTTGTGATGCCCCTGGCAGGGGGTGGAACATCTTTAAGGTCCCTTCCAACCCGAGCCAGTCTGGGACTGCTGAAGGCATTTCTGTGCCTGACTGCTGAGGTGAAATTGTTGGGGGGAATTTCTGTGTTTGCAGAGCTATGCAGTGAGAATCCTGTGGTGATGGAGCCCCCAAGCAGAGGGTGGGAATCCTTTTGCTCTGAGGCAGTAAATTCAAGGTTGATCCTAGTTTTTGGGTATCAAACATACTCTGCCTGTCAAGGGACAAGAGATACCACGTTGGTTTTCATGCAACTTGCGGATCACTTTACTCTGGACACTTGAACTCATATCCATTGTTTATTGAGCAGAAGTACACGAGCAGGAGGCTGTGCTGCTGTGGCCCTGCCTTGGGAGGGTGCATACAGTGGTTGGAGAAGTGTCTAGAAATCAGATGATGTTACAAAGTGGATGGCTGGTAAAAAAATAACCTTTGGGAAAGGGGCTGATGTGAGGAGCAGAGGATGTTGTTGAAGTGAGCAGGTGCTTGGTCTCCTCCCACGCTGTAATTCTTGCTCCTAGAACACTGATTTCAAATGGTGCTAGATACAAAGTGGGAAAATCTAAGCCACCATGTGAAACCAGCTTCCAGAGGAAGACACATCTTGTGCATGGCTGCAGGCTGAGGGAGAAAATCCTTCATCTCCACCGTACCTAGAGAAAAATTCATTTATTTAATTGTATTAGACAGCAAGACAGTTACCTTGGCCTTAGCTACTTTAAGGATACACTTCTTTTGTGGCATCTTGTGGATGGTTGAGGCTGGTGTAGGAGAAATGAGATATGTGGTGAGGAAAACCCCCAGCCTGGCAGTGAGGGTTGTTTCCTGCCCTAGCCAGGTGGAATGCACTCAAGTTCTTCCCAGCAAGTGATGATCAAGGTTTTATTTCTCGCTAGTGCAGAGCACGATGCTGATGGGGTGAGTGTGGGAAGTTTGTGTGGCACAGGAACACTTTTTCCATTTCACTGCAGATGAAACCAGGCTGTAAACCTCATTCTGTCCAAGACAGAGAGTGTTCTGGCTTTCTGTCACTCACTGATCAGAGAGTACAGGACACATCAGGTGCTTTTTGTGACAGGGAAAGGAAATGTGAGTGTCCCGATGGAACTTCCTCTATCAGCAGTCCCTGTGCTTTAAATAAGCAAGGACTTGCAGGTTTTTGTGAGACAACTTTTAAATTCTGCAGGCAGAATGAAACTAAATTGGATTGAAAGAACTTTGAGTGTGGGTCAGAGCAGAAAGGGAGCGTTCACAAATTGACCTGTAAATGGTTCAGTGGAAGTTGTTGAGGAAGGAGAGTGTGAAAATGAGTGGCTGATGGTTCCTGGAACTGCAGCAGGGCTGAGCACTTAACCTGCAGTGTCCCCAGCTCAGAGCAGAGGGAGCAGAGGGGGTGTTGAGAAGCCTCTGAACTGCTCCACACATGCATAATTCAGGAGCTATCAACCCTTGGATAAGTGTCTGACCTGTGCTGGAGTAGAGGCCAACATGAAATGGAACAAAGCACAACTGGAGGCAGCAGTTTCACTTATTGATGCCCTGGGGTTTTGGCAGCTCTGTGTATTCCTGTTGTAACCACATCCAAAAATCTGCTCGGGTGCCTCCATCCTAATGCACACTCCCAGGCAGCAGAGGGAAAGCTCAGAGACAGGAGCTTGTCCTTCCAAGAAAGAGGGGTGGAGGAAGGGGAAATAACTGGACTAGATTCCTTGTCTGGGTATTTACTGTCGTTTCTAAATCCATTATCTGGGGCAACAGGGTGAAAGACGAGTGGAAAGCAGGTTCCCTCCCCAGTGCCTGCCGTGTGGCACAGTTATTTAGGAGGCACCCTCTATTAGCAGGTGAGATTTACTCCTGAAAAGCTGCAGCAGGAGAGGCAGGTACAGAATTACAGAATCACAGCAGCATCTCTGAGAAACAGGCTCACCGTGAGCTTTGCTTTGGGTTCTCCTTGCCTCAGTAGTAAGCATTGCAAAGAAATCTTCATTAGGATTTTGAAACATAGTTGAAGGAAATGTCACTTAATTTTGTGCTGCTGAAAATGGGAGCTTGTGTCAAAGTATGAGACTCAGAAGGACTGAACACTTCTGCACATCTTCCCCTCTGCAAAGGAGACCAACCTTTCCAGAAATATCATGCAGCAGATGAAGACCAATGGCTCATTTATTATTTATAGTTTTGATAAAACCAGGTTTCACTTCAGCATAATGAAGATGCTGCTGCCCCTCCTCCAGGCTACCTGGAGTTTGTCCTGTTGCCTTCACAAGCTCCCCAGAAGGTGCCAGCCCTTCTTGGCAAGGTGCAGGTGCACATTTGGGAAGGGTACATCTGCCTGTGCTCTCCTTTCCAAGGCTCCCAGTGTGTCTGGGCAGGAGAAGGGAGCAGTGCAGGATGCTGTGATCCATTGGGAACGTGCAGGGCAGGAAAACAGGAGCACAAACAGCATGGTTTGGCTTGGAAGGGACCTTAAAGCCCCCCTAGTGCCACACCTGCCTGGGCAGGGACACCTCCCTCTGCTCCAAGCTGGCCTTGGACACTCCCAGGGTGGGGCAGCCACAGCTGCTCTGGGAATTCCATCCCAGCCCCTCCCCACCCTCACAGGGAAGAAAATGAAGCAGTGCTGGTCTCAAACGTTTGCTGTGTGGAGAGAAGCAAATACTGTCACCTGTGCCTGGCTTTGGCACAGGGGTCTGGACTTTCCAGTAAATAACAGTAGGGAAAGTACAATATCATCCTGTGGTTTTCCTCCTTTTCAGGTGTTTTAGTGGCAGTGCTGTTCTGTAGCTTCTTTCAGAGGAACAGCTCAAAGCCTTTCATGGACTTCACACTGCTTTATACATTCCATAGGAGACAAAGACAGAAAGGGAATCCCTGCCTTCCCTGTGAAAGGCAACTTCCTCTCTACCCTGAGCCCTTCAGCCTGCAGGAACAAGGCATGCCTGGATGTCACAGACCTGATTTTGCACAACCTGCACCTTCTAAAGAAAGGCAGTTCAGGGGTTTTTACGGAAAGCAAAACAGATCTCAGTGTGCATCATAAATTTTTTCCTCCATTTTTACATCACAGGGTGAAACTCATAATTCATCAGGCTCTGGTCTCCCCTGGAGAAAATAATCCCTGTTTTACATGCTGAGAATCTGAGCTTGATGCATCATCCTGCCAGTGAAGGAATGAATCAGCCCAGGGCCAGGTGCAGGACAAGGGGTGTGACAGTACAAGTGGTGACCTGCAAGGGGAATGGAAATGAGTGAACTTCTAAGGTTTCAAAAAAAGCCTCCTCGGCGTGGGGAGCCTGTAACTGCATCTCTTTGTTGTGCAGGTCTGGTGCTGCGTGGGTCAGCTGTGGACAAATGTGCTCTGACTTGCACTGGGAGCCAGTCCTCTGTGGAACACTTGGTGTGCCAGAGCACCAGCCTGGGCTGAGGGAAGGCAGAGCAGGGGCTGCACTGCTTAGGAAAATTGGTCTTTGTGCCTAGGAGATGGCTCTGGAGAGGCCACTGCTGTTATGGGCAGCAAAACCAGGTACTTCCTTCACGAGTTTAAAGCATAAGGGAGATATTTTTTTCCTTTATTAAGACCACAATAAAAACTCCACATTACAATTCTGAATTGAACGTAGCCTATTCCTTCAGTCCTACTCTTGCAGCCTTACAACTGCAGTACAAATGGAGTTAAAAGCCAGACACTCGGTGTCTGAAACCCCCCAAAACCCCAAGGCAGGCTGAACACTGGGACAGGATGGGGGTAAAAGCCTGTGGAGCTTTGTGTCCCTTTTAACTGTGAGCAGTGGGACAGTCAGGCCTGCTTGGTTTGAGTCACTGATTTCAATTGCTGTTAAGGGGAAGCTGTCAGAGCACTCTGCAGTGGCTGTTTTGGCATGGTGACCATTAGAGGTGTGCTTAGATATTAGTGCTGTAGTTCCCCATCTTGTGATCCCCCTGCTCATCTGAAATTGCTTTGACTTGCCTGGAGTCATCCAGTTCTCCTCCAGCTTTGCTCTCAGGAGAGTTCCTGGGCAAACCCTGAGCCTGTTTGGAGGGCTCTGCTGAACCCCTGGATCCTGTGGAGAATTCCAGATTTCACAGGGAGCAGTGAGGTGAAACTGGGCAAACTCAAAAAGAGCACTGCACTTACATGGCTGAGTTCAGGGAAGGGCAGTAGGAAAGAAAACATCAAATTTAGCCCTACACAGCCTGAGTGAGCAGCACATTGCAAAACTCATTCCACTCAAACAAATGATCCACCTAAGCAGCTGCAACCAGAAAGGCCATTTTCTATTCCTAACTCCTGTACCTAAGCATCACTTTAGAATGTAAAGTACTGATTGCAGGGCTTGAAAGCTCTCACAGGGAGATGATTGTTGTGATTTGTACAGTCAGTTCAGGAACATGGTGTTCCCCCAACACCACTGCTCCAGCTCCTCCAGGTAATGGCAAGGGAAGCCATATTTTTCTTTTGTGTCATTCTGGAGACAAAAGAATGTCCTGTGCCAGGGAGGAGCATAAGGAAACAAACCCAGCCAGATGTTCACTGAAGTATAACCTGCCTTTAAACCAGGCATCTGAAAACATGCCTTTAGTTTAACACTGCCTGGAAATCAGCTGGAGAAAAGCACTGACCAAACACTCCTGGCTGACTCCCCCAGGCACACGAGCTGCTGGTCTGTCCCTGTTCCCAGGGTTTCCATCATTCCACCCCTGAAATGTCACCGTGTGTCCAAGAGCCACTGTCAGTGTTTGGGAAGCATTTGGGCTGGATATCCAAATGCAAACCCAGTGGCTGCTGCTGGACTCCTGAGCGCCGTGAGTGTTTGTGGGGGGAGCTGAAGAGATGAGCCTCACTCAGAAATAGCTCTTCCTTGGAAAGCTGGAGGGCTGAATCACAGTGTGTTGGCTCAGTTTTTAGCAGACGAGCCATCACATCTGCCTCCCTGTAGGCGAGGAGCCGTCACTGGCACCGGGATTGGCAGCCAGGTTCTGTCCCTTTGGAAACCAGGCAATGGTGATGGGGAGGGCGAAGGCTCGTGGTGGGCAGGGTCAGGCTGGGGGCCTGGTGAGGTGGGCTGGCAGCTCTGGGAGCAGCAGGGCTCTGCTCGTGGCCCTGCTTGGCCTGCACTGCTCCCCCTGTCCCTCTCTGTCCACAGAACGTGCCCCCAAATTGAACTTTGAGCACTAAATAAGTTATTTTGCTGAGAGGCATTAACCACTGCTCTGCTGCCCGGGAGACAACCCTGAGCATATCCATGTGTTGTCCTGAGACAGCTGAAAATACCAGTGAGATGGGCAAATAGGAACACCAGGGGAAAATGGGGAAACATGGGAGGGGACAAGACAGCTCCTGAGCTGAGGCATCTGAAACTGAAAGCACCTGAGAGACACCCCTGGCTTGAGAGGCTCTGGGGAGCCTGCAGAGTCCACCTGATAGCCACAGAAATGCAAATGTACAGAGGTTTTCTTCCCAGAACAGAGTGTGAGCCCTTAAATACATGTCACTCCTGGTTCCCAGCAGTCCAGAGGAAGTCTTGGGGGAAAAGGGGATGAGGGAACTAGTGGAAAGTTTTTGGAGCTAGCAAATAAACAAATTACAGATATGGATTTTAAAATCTTTCAGAGACATGGGATTTTTTTTGAGCTACAGTTTTGGGCTCAGTGCCCCCACTGCTGCAGTAATATTAATTTTCAAGCCTCCCCTCCAGGTTCAGGCATGGGCACAGTTGCAAGAGAAGTAGATTGGGAGTTCCTGAACCAACTGGTTGCTGACCATGAGTCAGGGGAATGACCTTGCAGCAGGCGGCTCATGGTGCCGCTCTCGGAGCCGTGCCAGGATAAACGGCACTGGCATCTCTGAGTGCTGGTGGAACCATTTTGTGACATTCCAGCTTGGCCTTTTCTCCTGCTGCCTTTGCACCCAAATTGTTTGGCTGGGTGGGAATGGGGTAGAGTATTCCCTTTTTTCCTCACAGCCTGGGATTGGGAGTCTCTATACACAGAGATAAAGGGGACAACTCTTATCTCCTGCCTACATCCTTGCCCATTAACATCAGCATTACAGATATTTAACCAAATTAAATCTTACTCTCCCCCCCCAGCCATACCCATATTAAACTGTAAGAAAACACCATGATAAAAGTTTAAAAAATCCTACGCAGCAGCACTGAATTTTCTGGATAGGTCTGGGAGAGATTTGTCAGAGGAGAGAGGGTAGAACACTTGGCATTTAGACGTTTTAATGAATGTTCCCAAATAAGAAAAGAAAAACATTTGCTTGTAGACTTTAAGCTTCTCACAGCATCAGAAAGCTCCTGACACAGAGCCCAATGCTGTATTTGTATAACATGGAAATGAACAGCAGCAGCAGCAGAGATGCAGGCTCCGAGCCTGCTCTGCGAGCAGCAAAATGGCCAGGGGTGCTGGGGCTCATCCCAATTCCTTCACCATTTGGGGGGGTCTCTAGGTGGACCTGATACCCCTGACCCTTCAGGAGTGGTTTCAACTCTAACATCAATATGAAATGAATATTTCTAACCATATTCAAGCTTGTGTCCCCATCAGCTCCACTCCCTAAAGCACCGACAGGAACCAACAGCAAAATTCGTCTGCGTCACAGATGTAACATGACCATCGGCAAAACAAGAGCAGGAGGAGATCATGGCTGTCTCGTCCCTCACAGAGCCTTCCTTCACTAGCAGACAAGAAGAGGTAATGCTTTAAATTTATATCATGGGCATGTGAAATCCTGCCCTTCCTTCCCCGAATCCTGCGGTCCCTGAGCGGTCAGAACGCCCGAGAAAATTGCGTGCGTTTTGTCGGCGTGGAACCGAACGCTGCGTCACGATGCTGCACCAAGGCCGAGGCAGAGCAAACCCCACTCCCCAGAGCAGGGAAACCCAGATACAGGGAAATGAATCAGCTCATGCAGTGTCACACACACAAGTGTCAGAGGGAGGGAGAAATCACAGCTTTCCCCGGTCCTTTTGCGGCACTGTGCGGAAAACGATCACGGAACGGTTACCCAGGTACAGCTCAGGGTGACAGTGCCACCCCTGTGCTCACAATCACTGCTGTCCTACAGAAATATGCCATGTCCCCTTCTTAGCCTTGTTTCCTGCCAGTCCCACAGATTTACCTGCTGACAGTAACCTCAATTCCTGAGTAATGAGATTTACAGCTGGAGTTTAACATTGAAATAACTCCTCTTATATCTGTCTCCTTACCCTCCCTGCGTTTAGACACAGTTAAACCATCGCTGTGGCCAAAACATGGTGGCAAAAGGAATTAAATCAAATTCATCCCTCTGCTGAGCACACTCAGCAGCCAGTGGCACCTCCTTGAAAGCCATAAAACAGCACTAGCTTTACAAAGTCAGGGCTTCTCCACCCCACAGCCGTGATGGGGAAAACCACGAAGAGTTGTCCATGCAACCAACACTCGAGAAAACAGCCTCAACCCACCCATCATCCACACAACCCAGCATCGTGCCTTAGTCCAGCTCCTGGCTGTACAGAACCCCCTCCAAGCTGCCTGGGACTGTTCTCATGCGTGTGTGTGTATTTCTGCCTGTCTGTCTGTCTGCAGGGACCACCATTGTCGCTGCTGTTCCTGTTGTTCCCCTGCTCTGCGGATCTGGCGCTGCGGGAGGCAAGGATGCTCCGAGGGAGCCAGCAACAGCCAGCGAAGGCTCAGTGAGTCAGGAGGGCTTGTGATGACTGCAGTAAGAGGCTGAAATTCCCTATGGAATCTGGCAGGAAAGGAGGGGAAGGAGGAAGGATGGAGATGGGAAAGAGGGAAAGAAAGTGGGGAGTGGCACGTACAGTCTGTTGGGCTCTTCCCTCCCCGTCCCCGCGCCGCACTGCCGTTGGAAATGGCGGCCCTGCGCAGAGGACGGCGTCGTGAAAAATCCGCAGCGCCTGCGGCCTGCGCGACAAAACCCCCAAAATTCCATCCGGGGTGGAAATCCAGCCCTGCCCTCTCTCCCTGTCTCCCAGAGCACCCTGCAGGGGCCAGGCTGCAGCCCAGGTGATGGGGACGGCGACCGCGCGGTGCCTGAGCCCGGCGGTTGTTGCTAAACAACCAACCCTGACGCTGGAGATGTCAGCCAGCAAGGAACAGAGATTAAACACTCCTGCTAGCAGATCCTGAAACTTGGTAAGCCTCAGAATGATGGAAGGCTATGGAATAATGGTCCCTGTAGTATGAGAAAACAAAGTTACCACTCCACTGCACAATCGGGGGACTTCCTCGGCCAGGACCAAGCTCAAGGCTGGCTGTGTCCTCAGCACTTCCAGGCAGAGCTGCCATCTTCATTGCTGGGCGCTTTAAGAAGAGAGGTGAAAAAATAGTATAGTAAATGGTTAAGAGGGAAAAGTGTTCTTCCCTTCGCTTCCTTATCCTCTCTCTGGAGCTGCTCTCTGCCCTCAGTCTCCCATTCATCCTTAACCAGTTCCCAGTCCTTCCTTCCTTGCTTTCTAATGCTGTTACTCCTTTGCAAACCTTTACAGAGCCATCACTGAGGGCA